ATTGAGCACTCTGGTGCTTCCGGGGTACATTGCTGCCTGAGACCTCATTCAGACCCTAGTGTCGTACCTGGAATTCCATGATGGTACATAGTATGTCGTGTGACTCTCTCCACCTCCCTCAGTTCTGTTGGTGATTTTCTTGGTGCAGGGGCTGTGGAAACCAGAACTTCGCCTGGAGAACAGAATGCAACCAGTGTAAGGCCCCTAAGCCCGAGGGCTTCCTCCCGCCACCCTTCCCACCTCCGGGTAGGTACAGGTTTCCTGGAGCACCTCAGCTTCCTGGTGATTGAGTAGTGTCTGCTCTAGGAGAAGGATTAGCAGATTCACCAGTGTGTCCTCAGAGCCTCAGCCTCTACTCCTCTGACTCACCTGCCATTCTTCTGCCTTAGGTGGTGATCGTGGCCGAGGTGGTCCTGGTGGCATGCGGGGAGGAAGAGGTGGACTTATGGACCGTGGCGGTCCTGGAGGAATGTTCAGAGGTGGCCGAGGTGGAGACAGAGGTGGCTTCCGAGGCGGCCGTGGCATGGACCGTGGTGGCTTTGGTGGAGGAAGACGAGGTGGTCCTGGGGGGCCTCCTGGACCATTGATGGAACAGATGGGAGGAAGAAGAGGCGGACGTGGAGGACCTGGGAAAATGGATAAGTATGTGGTGGGGAGAGCACTGCCCCTTCCCAGCCTCTGCTGCAGTGAGTCCTGGAGCACCTGGGGGCTCGGACAGGGCTCTGTGTCCCTCCTTATTCTGTCTAATGGGTCCCTTTGCCTTGCAGAGGCGAGCACCGTCAGGAACGTAGAGACCGGCCCTACTAGAGAGACCCGCAGAGCTGCATTGACGACCAGATTTATTTTTTAAACCAGAAAATGTTTTAAATTTATAATTCCATATTTATAATGTTGGCCACAACATTATGATTATTCCTTGTCTGTACTTTAGTATTTTCACCATTTGTGAAGAAACATTAAAACAAGTTAAATGGTAGTGTGCTGAGTTTTTTGTTTGTTTTTTTTTTTTTCCTTTTAAAGATGGTTATTTTAAGACTTAACAATGGGAACCCCTTGTGAGCATGCTCAGTATCATTGTGGAGAACCAAGAGGGCCTCTAATTGTAACAATGTTCATGGTTGTGATTTTTTTTTTAAATAAAATTCCAAATGTTTATAAACTGTCATCCTTCTCAGCCTCTGTTTTGCAGTCTCATGTTCAGTTCTTTCCAGCCCTTACTGGATGGGAGCAAGGATTAGGGGTGCTCTTTGAAAAGGTGAGCCACTGGAGACCTGTTCTCATCCCCTGGCTCCTCCAGAGGGAGCTGGAATTGTTAGGCTTGACTTGTGTCATTTGCTCCCCGAATTCTGGAAGACTGAGCCAGCCATGGGGCCTTAAGTCATTCCAACCGCCATGTCCTCTGCAGTGCAAACAGGCCATTAGCTCTTCAGCTGCCTTCTTCCAGACTTGACTCGGGCTCCCCCACCCAGCCGACCTCCTCTCATGTTGTCTTGGGTTTTTTTTGAGACAGGGTTTCTCTGTGTAGTTCTGGCTGTCCTGGAACTCAACTCTGTCTCCCTAGTGCTGGGATTAAAGGCGTGTGCCACCACTGCCAGGCCTCCGCCCTGTGCCCTAAACTCGGCTGGCACCCTTCTTCCAAGAGCTGCCCCTGTTTCAGTCTAACTGGTGGAAGTAGGGCTTGCTTCTGTCACACCAACAACCATTAATACCCACACCAGCCTCCAGCTTCGTCTGTCCATTCCTAGACATGACAAACTATGGCCACCCACAAATAAATGAGGCCAGAGCAGTTTAAGGTCACACACAGGTCACCCAAACTTAAAATTTGAGTGGTTTCCCACCATGCTTGGCTGTTGCCTCACTATACACCTGCTCTTCCCCCACCCCACCCCCGAGACAGGGTTTCTCTGTGTAGTTTTGGTGCCTTTCCTGGAACTCGCTCTGTAGCCCTGGCTGGCCTTGAACTCACAGAGATCCGCCTGCCTCTGCCTCCCGAGCGCTGGGATTAAAGGCACGCGCCACCACCCAGCCACCTGCTCTTTCTTGATCACTGCAATCAAGCGCCACAGACCAGTGCCTTCTACACAGCTGTGAGGCCTAAAGGATTACCATCAGGCTTCTTCCAGACAAGTGAAGTGTCCTAACATGTTAACCCCAAACACCTGATAGGACAGGTCAGAGAATTTAGCCTTCAGTCAAGTGGTGCTACACACTGGACTGCCGGAACTCAGGAGGCTGCAAGAGGATCCTGAATTGAGGTCACAGTGAGACTCCCAAATACTGAGGACTGGAGATAGGGTAGGGCTGGGTGGTGAAGCACTTGCCTATGGGTGGAGATGGGCCTGAGCACTCAGGCGGTGTAACTCCTGAATCCATCATACCAGAGGATGCCTCAGGAGGGAGGAAAGGCAGAAGAGCAAGTAAAATTTCCACAAGAGATTTGTGGTCCCTCTGTAGGCCACACAGCACAGATCTTGACAAAAGGGTCACGTGGGAGGTGCCCCTCAGTATAATCAGGGCCCAGGGCAGCTTCCGGGCCATCCCAGTCTGCCTCACTCCTGAGGTACAGGGACAACACTCAAGTGGACAGCTTTGAGCCTGCTGCGTTGTTTTGTTTTCTTGGAGGACCCAGGAAGCTGGTCAGAGTCATGTCCACAGCTAACAGCAGGAATCCTGACGTCTGGATGCTCATCTGGCAGGCCCAGTCTGAACCTTGTAAATGTTTGCCTGGCCCTGGACTGGGCTCCGCTCCGCTCCAGATAGACGGGAGAGAGCTTTGTATGAACTGACCAGTGTACCCGACTCCTGGAGCTGCCAGGCACTGGGCTGGAGCCTGCCCGTGAAGGCTTTGCTAGGGGACTCCACTGACATCACTAGACCTCTGACCACAACCCAGGCTAGCTAGGCTGCTCACTAGCACAACAGTAGGGCAATAAAACTGGCTACACTGTTAAGTTCAAGGCTAGCCAGCTAGACAGTACCACGAGGTCCTCAAAACTTCAACACAAAGCAATAGGAAACCTGGTCCTGTGTCCAAGCAGGAGTCAAATGCCTGCACAGCTGCTAGCTGCACATGTGCCTCAACCTCCCCAGTCCTCAGTTTCTCTAGTCCACAAAACTGTCATATGGGGCTGGCAAAATGACTCAAGAGATAATGGTACTTGCCACCAAGCTACAATCCCCAGGATCCCACATGGGGAAAGGCAGAACAAGCTCCCAAAAGTCTGCCTTGCATGCATACCTTGGCATGTATGTACACACAGACACACACACACACTCACACCGATGTAATAAAAAGTATCTGTGTATCCTATTATTGCTGGGTAGGATGGCTCATTACAGCTTGTTCCAGGCCAGGTCATTTCTCAATATCCGTATCCAATTCCCCCACCTCCAGTCCCTCACTGCCTGCTGGGTGGTTTTTAGCAGTTCTTCCCCCTACAGTGCTCAGCCCCACACCTGGGATTTCTCCCTCATCTGTCCTGACACACTCAACTCACCAAGATATATCATCAGTTCTCAACAGGCAGCCAAAATCCAGCACCCCCTCACCACTCCCACCTAAACCACCTGACTTCCTCTGAGGCTCTCTGACCCTCCCCCCCACCCCCTGCCCACCACAGCAGCTACAGGGCCGGTATGACTCCCCTGTTCCAAATTCCTCCTTAGAGGGGCCCAGGCTACAGAGTAATACTCTGCCTCAAAATAAAATGTAATAATAAGGGCCAGGTGTGGTGGAGCATGTATTTAATCCCAGCACTCAGGAGGCAGAGGCAGGCAGATCTGTGAGTTCAAGGCCAGCCTGGGCCACAGAGCGAGTTCCAGGACAGCCAGAACTACACAGAAAAACCCTGTCTCGAAAAAACATATTTGGAATTTTGTTATGTTTTTGAGATCGGGTCTCACTGTGTAGCCTTGGCTGACCTGGAATTCCCCACGTAGACCAGGCTGGCCTCAAAATCAGAGATTCTCCTGTCTGTCTCCTGAGTGCTGGGATTAAAGGTGTGCGCCACCACTGTCCAGCAATAATAATTCAATAATAAGAAATAAACCCCTCTATAGCGTCCATGTCCTTTGAAAAGCATGGTCCACGAGGCCCTGTATGACCTGCCCTAATGTCTCTACCACTCCGGCCTTGCAAACCTGTCCACTGTTCTTTCTTCACTTCTTCCTTCCCTTCTTTTTTGAGACAGGTTCCCTCAGTGTGAAAAACTCGCCCTCTAGATATCTCCCAGCTTCCTCCCTTACCTCCTTCCTTGATCCGAGTGAAAATTTCAGTCTTTGCACACACCCACATGTTCCAGACTCTCCCCTCAGTAACTCATTCCTCTCTCAAACCATGGGCTGCTTTCCTGACAACCGTAAGCAGAGAGCTGCCTTTGGGGGTGAGACTTGGCTCACAGTAGGTGTCCAACACGTGCCTGTGATCCTTGAGAGTGCAACAAGTCAGATCAAGGCCCTACTCCTTCAGCTGCTCCCCTGGAGATGCCCTTCCTAGAGGTGATTGCCCAGTCTTCAGGTCTAGGTCTAGGGAACACAGTGGGAGCTTTACGAAAGTTCTGGACCTTCACTTGGCTGGCGGTGCCCAGCTCATCGGCGACAGCAGGGGGCAGGATTCCCCAGACCTTCCGCGCTCAGGCGTGGAGTCGCCCCTGCCACGCCCCCTCCTTTATTCTATCCATCAGCCACCTGCCTATCCCTGGGCCCCAATATCCCTGGGCCATCCTGGAGGAAGGGCATCGGGTTATCAGGCCTGCCGAGGTCCACCAGGGACGGAGGTGACTCTGCAATCCCCGGCCCCTATCGCTTCCGGGAAGGCCACTGTCGCGGAGGGAGGACAACTAAAAGAGTCCGAACCCCTCCTCGGAGGACCCAGGACGGTGGAGGCGGTCTAGGCGCCGAGTCAAAGGTCCGGAGGGCGTCCTCGGCCGCCTCGGGGCCTAAGGGACGAGAAAGACACGTCCCCTTTAAGAGCGCGGCCCCGCCCCTTCCTGGCCGGATCCGAATTCCAGGGGGGCGGGGCGGAGCCGGCGCCGGGATGCAGCGAGCTCGGGCGGCGCCTGTGTGCGGCGGCGCGGCCCGGCTCCGGCCCCGCCGGGGCGATGCTCCCCGGGGCGGCGGGTGAGCCAGGTGAGCGCGGGGACCCCCCAGGACCTCCGTCCAGGGTGCCCGGAGGTGGGCCGGGCGGGGCGGGGCCTCCGCTTCCCAGGGCTGTGTGACCTTGACCGGCCACGCACCCTCTCTGGACCAGGCCGCGAGCACTGCGGAGGCTGGCGGGGGCTCTTCGGCGTCCCGGCCTTTCGAGCGCCGGCCGGGGGGGTTGCTTCTCCCAGGAGGCGGGGCCTGCCTGGGCGCCCCGATCCCTCCACCCATTGCTCCGCGACCTTCTGCCCGCGCCTGCCCCTCCTGCGCCTCAGTCTCCTCGTCTGTAGAATGGAGATGCGGTCGGCGCGTTCCAGGGGCGCGGCCCGTAGCGGAGGGGAGAGGGGAAGGCGGGGACTGGCGAGGGCTGGGGGCTGAGCCGTGGAAACAGCCCCCCGGTGGTCCTGGGCGAGCCTCCTCGCCCGTCCCTCCCCGCCCACATGTCTGTAAGTGGCATTTCTGCCCCGCGGGTGCCACCCTGCCCCCGGCCCCCGACCCCGCACGAGCCAGGCAGCAGCGCACAAACTCTAGGATGGGGTCCATTTTACGGAGTCCTTCGAAGCAGGTCGTGGCACTGTACCCACTTCCCAGCGAGGGCGAGGAGGTGTCGCGTTGGCTCGTGGCCCGCACCTAACTTAGCATTTGCCCCCGAGTGGCGGGCCGGCAGAGGTAGACCATTCGGAGCCCTTGCGGGTCTGTCTCCATAGCAATAGCAGGCCTGACCTGTGTTCCCTGCCAACAGTGACTCCCCTGGCCCTGGGCATGGCGGACCCGGTGGCGGGCATCGCGGGCTCTGCGGCCAAGAGTGTGCGGCCATTCCGATCCAGCGAGGCCTACGTGGAAGCCATGAAGGAAGACCTGGCCGATTGGCTCAATGCCTTGTACGGTCTAGGTCTGCCCGGCAGCGGCGAGGGCTTCCTCACGGGGCTGGCCACAGGCACAACCCTGTGCCAACACGCCAACGCTGTCACCGAGGCCGCCCGGGCTCTGGCCGCTGCCCGCCCAACCCGAGGTGTGGCCTTCCAGGCACACAGTGTGGCGCCTGGCTCCTTCATGGCCCGAGACAACGTGGCCACTTTCATCGGCTGGTGCCGGGCGGAGCTGGGGGTGCCCGAAGTGCTCATGTTCGAGACGGAGGACCTGGTCCTGCGGAAGAACGAGAAGAGTGTCGTGTTGTGCCTGCTGGAGGTGGCCCGGCGCGGGGCGCGCCTGGGCCTGCTGGCCCCGAAGCTGGTCCAGTTCGAGCAGGAAATTGAGCGGGAGCTTCGGGCTACCCCGCAGGTATCCAGCGCCCCTGCTGCTGAAGAGGATGCCACCGAGATGGTCACTGCCTCGGGGGCTCCCTCCCGCACGCCCCGAATGACGCTCAATGACCTGCGGAACCTGGACGAGCTGGTGAGTCCTTCTGATGTACACATGGGGTGGCCCCTGCCCAGTCTCCCCACCCGGGGACCAGATGGCAGAGCTAATTAATGCCCACCGATCCCTGAGCCTTGGGGGCCCACCCTCTGCAGCCTGCCCCACAGAAAGGGGGGTACATATGTTCACTGTCGGGTGTATATCTGGTCACAAGGAAATGGCTAAGCCCAGAGAGGCAGAGGTGCTAAGTGAGGCCACACAGCCCAGCTAGGTCTGAGGCAGATAAAACCCCAGCCTCTGGCATGAACTCTTTTTTGTGTAGAATGAGCAGCAACACAGCTCAGTGCATTGCTTCATTTGGAGGAGCGTGACTTAGGCACCTTTTGGCACACGGGTGCTAGACAGACACATTGGCAACCTCAGACCTCAGGCCGAGTGCCTGCGGCCCCTGGCCTAGGCTGTATACAGTGAGTGTCTGGGGAGACCTCGCTCTGGTGTCCTGATGGAAAGCCCAGCCCCATGGCGGCTGCTGCTGCTGGGAGCAGGAAATGCTATTGGGAGCATCGGAGGTACAGGGTACAGACTTCCAGCTCCCTCCTCCTGTCCCAAGACCTAGGTGTCCCAGCCACCCCCGCAGCTGGACTGAGAGTTTCTTTCTTATCAGGAGCTTAGGACTATGATGTGCCTGCCTAGGACCCAGGCGCTGGATGGCTGTGGGCAGCATGGATACCCTGTCCACACCCACCCCAGCCTGGGCCTGGGTCAGCCAAGGCCCCACCTGCTCATTCCCTCTGGAGTCACTGTGGGTAGAAGGAGGGTAGCCTTCCCACAGGGCCAGCCTGTCATCCATTGCCTCTGTGGACGTGTGTGCGGCTGTGTGCTTGCCAGGCCTTTGTGCCTGTTGGGGTGTGTCCCGCATGGTACCCTCTGGTTGGGATGCTCGGATGGGAGCATGGGCCTCCTGCACTCATCGGGTCCTGGCTGTGGATGGCTCCAGGGCTGTCACAGGCTTAAGGCTCTTCCGGGTGTTTCTTCCCGGGCACAGCCCCTGGCCCGATCACAGCCCTGTCCTCTCATTCCGGTTGCTTCCAGAACTCTCGAGAGTTCTCAGAGCCCATGCAGTATGCGGGCAAAAGGTCCCGTGTGGGAGGGAGTGGGCACTTCCTCCTGCCCAGCAGCTGCTGACTTAAACCCCAGGAGGACTTGACCCTTGACCTTCAGCCTCTTCTCTGCCCTCAGGTAAGGGAGATCCTGGGCCGTTGCACCTGCCCCGACCAGTTCCCCATGATCAAAGTCTCGGAGGGCAAGTACCGAGTGGGAGACTCGAGCTTGCTTATCTTTGTAAGGGTAAGTGGGGAGGGCAGGGCGTGTCCCGCTGCTCGGGGCTGTCGGGGAGGCCCACGGTGACCTGCCTGCCCTCTGACCTGCAGGTGCTGCGGAGCCACGTGATGGTGCGCGTGGGTGGCGGTTGGGATACGCTGGAGCACTACCTAGACAAGCATGACCCTTGCCGCTGCTCCTCGGCGGGTAGGTGCCTGGTGGGGGGGTCCGGCCCCCGGCCGAGCGGGCCGGTCTCCGAGGCCCCGCCCTCACCTGGCGCCTCCATCCCCACAGCGCACCGGCTGCCCCCGCAGAGGGCCGGGACTTTCTCCCCGCAGAGGGGATCGCCCACTCCTAGCCCTCGCCCTGGTAGCCCCGTCCCTGGGAGTGAGCGCCGGGGCTCCCGGCCAGAAGTGACCCCCATCAGCCTGCGGAGCACGAAGGAGGGGCCCGAGGTCCCGCTCAGGTGAGAAGCTGGAGGACCGGAGGAGCGGCCCGGGCTGGGGGGGAGGGGCGTCCGCTGGGGCGCGGTGACTCACACCCTGGGAAAAGTTCCCGCGCGTGGGGGCGGGCCTGGCTCTCCGTCTCCATGGTAACGCAGACAAACCAACAACACAGCTGGGGCGGGCTCCAGGCGGTGGCCGGTCCAACCCAGGCTTCGGAAACCTGGGGCGGGAAGTCGCGGCCTCGGCCAGGCCGCTCACTTGTCCCTGGAAGTCCCCTGGCAGAGGCCAGGCCCCACCAGCTCGCTCCACCCGCGCCAGTGATACACATCTCTCTCGCTCCCCGCCTCAGGCCCCGAGATCAGCTGCCCCCCCTCCCCCGCTCCCGCCGCTACTCCGGGGACAGTGACTCCTCCGCCTCCTCGGCCCAGAGTGGCCCCCTGGGTGCCCGCAGCGACGACACGGCCACTGCCTCCCGCAGGGAGCGGCCCAGCCACCGGTTGACCTCGGCTGTCCCGGCCTCCCCGAGACGGCCGCCCGCCCCTCGCAGCCAGTCTCGAGACCGGCTGGACCGGGGACGGCCCCGCGTGGCCCCGGGCGGCCGAGGCTCTCAGCCGTCCGCCTCCAGCCCCGTGCGTCGCGCCCGCAGCCAGAGCCGCGAGGAACAGGCGGTCCTGATGGTGCGCAGGGACCAAGACGGGCAGCACTCGTGGGTAGCCCGGGGCAGGGGTGGCGGGGGGTCGGGGGGTTCTGGAAGGAGCACCCCGCAGACACCGCGTGCCCGCAGCCCTGCGGCGCCCCGCCCTCCCCGGGGCCCCAGCCCCAGCCCAGAACTGGCTGCCACACCCGCCAGCGTTTTCCGCACGCCACTGCAGCTTGACCCGCAGCAGGAGCAGCAGCTGATCCGGCGACTGGAAGAGGAATTCTTGGCCAATGCCCGAGCCCTGGAGGCTGCTGCCAGCCATACCCCTATGGGACCCGCCCCTGACCCCCCAGCTCCGGACTCTGCTTACTGTTCGTCCAGCTCCTCATCTTCATCCCTCAGCGTCCTGGGTGGCAAGTGTGGCCAACCGGGGGAATCGGGCCGCACAGTCAATGGGCTGCCCACGCCCCGCAGCCAGGCTCTGTCCAGTTCTTCTGATGAAGGCAGCCCCTGCCTTGCTGTGGGGCGGGCGCTGGATGCAACCAGGAGCTCTCTGACTGGCCCAGAACCCTCGCTGACCTTGGCAAGGGGGCGGATGGACACACAGCCAGACCGTAAACCCTCACGCATTCCCACACCTCGGGGACCCCGCCGCCCATCAGGACCCATGGAGCTCGGGGCTTGGAATGCCCTACAGTCGGTCACCCCAAGGACCCAACCAGATTCTTGAATGTGATGGACCGGCTCAACTGCACCCATACCCCATTCCATTTTCTTTGTGGCCTTAACCTACCCTCTGCATCAGGGACCCCCCCCCCTCCACCTCTTGAGCACCAGACCTCATGGGACCAGACCCCACGGGACCACATGGCACAATGGGACACCTGTTGTACATTCCGGTTTCGGGGATGAGTGTTGCTATTTAATTACTAATATTATTGAATGCCTTAGAGGAGACCGGGCCACCCCGGTGTCCTGAGGACCTGTGGTCCAGTAAACAGAACCTCTGACAGTCAAGTACTGCTCCAGCTCCTGTTTTTTGGGGACTGAGCCTTCGTTATATGTTGGGATTCTAGAGTTAACTGCCTGGAGGCCAAGCCTCAACACCCTGACCTGCCTATTCCAGAACAAGAAACAGTTAAATTGTGCGGTTAAGTTGTTTTTTATTACCTGGTAAGGCATGACTTAAAAAGTGTCTCCAGTAACCAGTCCAGCACTGGAGAGGCAGAGGCAGGTGGATCTTTGTAGTTCGAGGCCAGCCAAGCCTGCATAAGTGAGACTGTGTCTCAAAAACAAAAGGTGTTTCCAGTAAAGCTGTACGAAGGCTTCCAATCCCGTTCATATTCAGGTCCTTTCCATCTGTGATTGTGACCCAATAAGGTCTCAGATAAAACTGAACTTGTCCAATGATTGGGAGTTGGCTGGGTCCAATCAAGTTCAAAGGAAAGCCTGTCGGCCTGGAGACTGGGTGGGAGCCTGCTTTTAGGAGATTTCCCTGTCCACTTTGGTCACATGAGGCTGCAGCGCGCTGGATGCAGCGCCCCCTGCAGGCGCAGGGCCGGATGCGCAGGACGTGTACGCACCAGAGCACACCGCAGAAGCTCCCGGAAGAGACGCAGCACGTGCCAATTGTATTTGGCTGAGCACTCGAGGTAGCCGCAGCGCCAGCCCCTGCGGACTAGAGTGGCCAGTGCACGACGAGGTCCGAAGCGCAGCCGCTGACGGTCCCGCTTGTTGCCCACCACGAGGATGGGTGCCTCTGGCGCGCCCGCCGGCCTGGAGGCCCGATGGATATGAGAGAGGCAGTGCTGGAGACTGCATGGCCAGAGGAACCCTCCCCGTGCGTACAAATACAGGCGGCCCCCGCCTACTGCCAGAGACCCTCGGTTGTACCAAAGACCTCATATAGCAGGAGACCTTCTCATGGGCACCACGTGTGATCCAGAAGCCCCCAGACCAGAACTACCCACTCCCCTAGGCAGACCTCCACCTCCAGCCCGGCCCTCACCTGTTTTCTGCTATGCGCTGCCTCAGGGCTTTCACATAATCGAAACTGTCCGGGCTGCAGATGTCGTAGACCAGCACAAAGGCGTCTGTGTCCTGCAAGCTCCAGTCTTTAGGGTCTGGCCACTCCTGGGGGTAAAGGCTGAGGTTTACAGCTGACCCTCCTACTCCCAAACCCCATGGTTCGTCCTCAGACCACATCACCTCCCAAAACTCTGTACACACCCTCGCTCAGGCCAGATTTCCCAGCTGTGCCTGGATCTTGTCAGGTCCTAACTCTCCTACGTCCTGGCCTCCCGGCAGACTACTACCCTCCCTATACTACTACTGCTGCCTGTCATTGTCAGTGCGACCCCCGGCCCGCCTTCCACCAGCCAGCCGGTGGTGACTGACTGCCGGTGCAGCCCGACAGGTGAAGCCTGGGCCAAGCACCTCTCTTCTCTCCCCTTGCGGTGTTCTTCCGGCTTCTTTTACCCATTTAGCCTCCCAGGTGCTTCTCAAAGGCCAGGCTCTCTGGGAAGCCCTCCAAGGCATCCAGCGCCCAAGACTAGAGGTCTGTCTGGGACTTTGCACAACTCACTGAGGTTTTGATGCAGGGCACAGGAATGGGGGAGCAGTGGCCCCCTCTAGAAAAGATACTCCTGTGTCTGGCCCAGTCTGTGGCAGCGGCTTAGCTCAGGCAGTGCTGTACCAGATGCCGATCCAGACACCAGCACTCACGGGGACAAGAAACAGCCGCGGGGTGCCTCCAGGCTAGCGCAGGAGGCTCTCATGCAGTGCACCAAGACACACTCTTCCTTTAATCCCGGAACATGCTCGGGCGCCCTGGGTCAGTCCACGTGGACACGCACGTGGGCACCAAGCGCACGGACACACAGACACACACAGACACACACACACACACACACACACACACACACATACACACACACACACCTGGCCACCTACAAACCGCTACCTCGAGACTTCTGGGGCTCGAGCCGGGGCTGGCGACGTCACCATCGCGGATACTCAGGTCGTAGACAGCGCCGTCGAGCAGCACGGCGGGCCGGTAGAGGCGGGGACCGTCTGTGGGCCGGTGGCGCTCGGGATAGTCACCGAACAGGAACTGGCGGATGATGGCAGTCTTGCCCACTCCCGGAGCACCCAGAACAGCCACACGCAGGCTGCCGCCCATGGCTGGCCCGCGCCCCCGCGCCCGGCGCCGGGG